GGGACTCGATCCCGGGACTCCAGGATCATGACCTGAGCCGAAGGCAGTCGCTTAACCAACTGAGCCACCCAGGCGCCCTATAGTTGATATTTTTCAAAAGTTAAAATATGTGACCATAATCCCAACACATGCAAAATTAAATAAACAATTCTAATAATTATCCAAAAACTTTATAATTAAAAATATAAATAGCTAAGGAAAAGTAAATTCTCTTTAATAAATAATTTTGCCTGGGGGTATCTGGGTGGCTCAGTCACTTGAGTCTCAGACTCTTGGTTTTGGCTCAGGTCATGGGGAGATCGAGCCCTGTGGGGAGTCTGCTTGAGATTCTCTCTCTCCTTCTCCCCTGGCCCCACCCCCTGCATTCTCTTTCAAATAAATAAGTAAATATTTAATTTGCCACTTACTTTTAATTTTCTTAAAGAATTATTTATTTATTTTAGAGAGAGAGCGTACACATGAGCGGAAGGGATTCCTCGCTGAGTGTGGAGCCCTATGCAGGGCTTGATCCCACCCCTGAGATCATGACCTCAGTCAAAACCAAGAGTCGGATGCTCAACTGACTGAGCCACCCAGGGATCCCACTTTCTTTTCTTTTTAAGCACAGAATTAATCAGAAAAATGAAGCAACATGAGAATGGATTAAAAAATACTGCCTGCTAATAAAAACTCAGTATATTTTGTAGAAAGCATTTGTATCTCAAGCTATTTTACCTGAACTAATAAATCTGGCTTTGATTATATTTCTGCTTTTATAAGTGATTCATAGATGATCATGAAAAAGTATGTAAAGAGAATCATTCAGGAGATAAATATTTATGATGTGGCAGATATGAAAGATCTGAGATAGGAGAGGGTTGAAGGAAAATCCAACTTTATCAATGATCCACACTGAAAAGACCACTATAACCCATGCAAGCAATAATGTTATAAATGCCATTTATGCTCTTACATAAAGGCAGCTTCCATGAAAACACCAAGGACAGAGAAGTCAAAGGGAAGTGAGTTAAAATGAGAAGACCTGGGTTCTAGTAGTACTGTCCAAGTCACCCTGATAAATCACTCCATTTCTATGGCAACATTTCTTTATCTGCAAAATGAAAGAGCTGGATGAAATCTCTCTAGCCTCTTCCATCTTGCCTCTGTCTAAGGAAAATTTGTGAACATTGAAAAAAACTCTCTTAGATATGTTTCTATTGAAAAGGCATCTTAACAAATAAAAGTAGTCTATGTCTGCTTGAAAGAAAGGAAGATCCATGATTTTGGCTTAAAATATCCTTTAACTAGACTTGTTTTCTCCTCAAAAGCTTAAAATCACTCACAAACACGGAAGTATTATTGGTACTGTAGATTAAAATTGTGATTGTGGCAAATGGAAATGGAAACCCCAAATGGGTTTGGCAAGTCCTATTTTATAAAAAAGTATTTTAAGAACTTCAAAAACACTTTAACTCTTCCTTGTTACAGTATAAAAGTCTTTTTATTCTAGTCTTCAAAGGATATACATTACTAATTAATTATAGGAAAGGAGCCAGACTATTTTCCTACAGTGAAAATTCCTATGGTGAAAATAGAAAATTTTCCCTAAAAAAATATGGGGTAGGGAGATAAACTTTAAAAATTATTTTAATATTTTCAGTTTTATAATTACCTGGTATCCACTCCTCTTTGTACACCTTCATGTATCTTTTACTATATCTTTCAATATCTAGAAAAAAAAGTGTTCATTAGAGAAGTCAAGAATAAGCCTGAACGTAAGCCATTCCTTAAGCCGTAACTGAAAACAGCAGATAACATCTTTTATTTTGGGGCGCCTGGGTGGCTCAGTCAGTTAAGTGTCTGCCTTCAGCTCAGGTCATGATCCCAGAGTCCTGGGATCAAATCCCATGTCGGGCTCCTTGCTCAGTGGGGAGTCTGCTTCTCCCTCTTCCTCCCCCTGCTTGTGCTCTGTCAAATAAATAAATAAAATCTTTAAAAACAAAACAAAACAACCCCCCCAAACATCTTTTATTTCACACATAGGGAATTTCCTATATTTGTACATAATGTGTTCCTGAACACCTATTGAAAAGTTCAATAAATATTACAAGTTTAAGGAAGTGGCAAGAAACTGGGTATGAATGGCTGGGGGTGAGCAGAGACCTAAACCCTGATCATGGTTTTTAGAATCAGACAACCTGACTCATCTCAGAATATTCGCTAAAGCCCAAAGCCAGGTCAGGAAGCCACTTACATATACGGGCAAGTAAGCCTTCTTGTGACACTAGCCTCCAGCTCCCATACTTTAAATCTTATGTAACTGGGATGTATTAACTACCTAAGTGGAGATGGAAAGCTGTATGCTCACCTCCAGTGCTTGATACACACATTAATACACAGGCTTCTCAGTGAGCTACTCTTCACAACCCATTGAGGAGGAGAATGGGGAAAAGGGTAGGAGTAGCTAGGTTTGGACTTGATGGGGTATGAATGAGCAAGCTGCAAGTCTTCCACATGAACTACTGACAACTCTCCAGGGACCTTCTGTGCTTGCCCAAAATGGGAATGGCTCTTACTTCTCCTTCGCCAACTCTGCCACAAGAAACTCCCTTAATAAGGGCCCAAACCCTTTCCTAGCAACTTAAGTTAGCAAGGAACACCATCATGCCATAGCCTGAAACCATGGTTCATCATAACATGTGGTTTAGGAGTATAGCCATGAAATAGGGAAGTTAATACAACAGACGCAAACATAAAAAACAAGACCCAAATATGTACCGACTTCTCTTCCATGTTAAGAACATGATTCCAAATAATACTAAGACCATAGTGTTAAACAAAAATAACTAAAATAAAGAGTAGATCAGTGAGACCAAGAAATCAAGCTTTTCTAGGTATTTAACTGTTTTGACTTCAATCTTGCTCTCAAGCTTTTCATCTGTAAAGAGAAGTCAACACAGATGACAGATTTGCATTTAAAAATTTTCTCCACAAAAGATTGCATATTTTGGAAAAATTTAACCTTTAGTAGTAAACTTTAGAAGAATAAGCAATATTGAAAACTACTGAGATCCAGTTAGAAAGAAACAAAGGATTTGAATAGACATTTCTCCAAAGAAGATATGCATGGAAAAAAGCATGTAAGATGTTCAACATCATAGTTATTTTGGAAACTCAAATCAAAACCACAATGAGATACCACTTGATACCCAATAGGATGGCTATAACCAAAAAGGCAAGGGTGTGGAGAAACTATAACCAACAAGTTTTGGGAAGGGTGTGGAGAAACTAGAACCCTCATATATTGTTGGTAATGTAAAGTGGTGCAAGCACTTTGGAAAACAGTTTGGCAGTTCCTCAAAATGTTAAATATAGAGTTACCATAAGACCCTAGATAAATACCCAATAGAAATACCATATGTCCACTCAAAAACGTGTACATAAATGTTCAAAGCAACATTACTCATGATAGCTCCAAAGTGGAACTGACCCAAATGTCCATCAACTGGTGAATGGACAAACAAAATGTGGCATATACAAAAAACAGAATACTATTCAGCCATAAAAAGGAATGAAGCATGTTGTACCATCAGTGAACCCTGAAAACATTATGCTAAGTTAAAGAAGCCAGTCACAAAAGGACACATTTTATGATTCCCTTTTTTAAAAGATTTCATTTTTCATTTTTAAGTAATCTCTACACCCAACGTTGGGCTTGAACTTACAACCCCGAGATCTGAGCCAGCCAAGCATCCCTATGATTCTACTTATATGAACTGTCCAGAAGAGACAAATCACTACAGACAAAGCAGATTAGTGGTTGCCATGGCTAAAGACAGGGGAGAATGAAGGGTGATACCAATAGGTACAGGATTTCTTTTCAGGTTGATGAAAAGGTTCCAAACATCAGAGAGTAGTGTTGGTTGCACAATTCTGTAACTACATCAAAAGCCACTGAATTGTATACTTTAAGAAGTGTATTTTAGGGGCGCCTGCGTGGCTCAGTTGGTTAAGCGACTGCCTTCGGCTCAGGTCATGATCCTGGAGTCCCGGGATTGAGTCCCTGCTTGGCAGGGAGCCCGCTTCTCCCTCTGACCCTCCCCCCTCTCATGCTCTCTGTCTCTATCTCATTCTCTCTCTCAAATAAATAAATAAATAAAGAAAGAAAGAAAGAAAGAAAGAAAGAAAGAAAGAAAAGAAGTGTATTTTATATATGTGAATTTTATCTCAATAAAGCTATTATTTAAAAAGAAAGTTATTAGAAATTATAATAATAATATTATTATTATAAGAACTTAAGTATACTAAACTCAAATTTATATTCCATTATTTTCCTGGTTTTGAATGTCTATTAACCCAAAATGGGCAATGTCTTTTGAATGCAGTTAACTGTGCATCAACTGTGCATTCTAGGAATGCATGTACAGTTGTCATGCACAAACTCTGATTATATACATTTCATATATCCTGATTCCAGATTTCAAATATATCTTTATTAATAAATTCTAACTTGTTACTTCTGGTTCTTCTCACACTTGCACCATCAAAATGATTCTAGATTAGAAATACATTTCTAATAGGTTCCAGCTTATCATTATTTCCAATTCTTCGTCTTATACTCGCATTGCCAAATGTAATACTTTAAAAGCTTTGACGGGACGCCTGGCTGGTTCAGTCAGTTAAGCATCTGCTTTTGGCTCAGGTCATGATCCCAGCATTGGACTCCCTGCTCAATGAGGAGCCTGCTTCTCCCTCTCCCTTTGCCAACCCCTGCGTGCTCTCTCTCTCAGACAAATAAATAAATAAAATCTTAAAAAAAAAAAAAGCTTTGATGGCTCACATTTGTGTTGAAGTGAGGATGGCCCAGCCATCTTCTTTGGTCTATAATTGTAAAACATTTTCATTATTAAATTTATAATTACCAATTAACATGATCAATCCAACAAACTGTTTCATTTCTACATAACCTATTTCCTTTTGATCATCTTTGTCCTTGCCTTTAGCATTTGTCCAGTTACAAACTACATCAAATAACTTTTGGTACATAAACACCATAAAAAAAAAATATGGTCACATGTCATTTCAACAAACAGGATGTTCCCGGTTCTTATCACAAAATATTATGTGATGAGGAGCTTTTCAAGGACTAATGGTATGAGAATACTGTATTTCCTTTTTATTCTTAGAGATATATTGTTTACCCATTGACTCTTGAGTTTGAGAAAATTCATCTAGAATACTCTCATCTGAAGACTCAGAGATTTCACTTATACAATCAATTTCACGATCATTGTTAGTGCCCAAAGAACTGCTGCATCTACATTCATCTTCTGATTTGTCTAGTGCAACACCTTCCTCTGTCAGTTTTCTTCTCTTTGCCATTATGGGCTGAAAATGAACAATTCTGGATTCTCAATTGTACTCTATGAAAACAAAAACAAAACCAAACAAAACAACTATAAAGACAAGTCTCTCTAGACTTCTTTTATAGCTTCCTAAAAATTAATGTAATACTTTGGGCAACACAAAAGAAACATTAAAGGATAATGTAATAGTGATTTATTTCAATACTGCACCATGCTTCAAGGCAACTTCATCATTCTTCCTTTTTTTTTTTAAATTATTTCAGTCTTTTATTTTCCAGGATAGGGGGGATAATTCACAAGTAATGATAAAATAGTATCTATGCTGATGAAATAGCAAGATGTTTAAAGATGAAGGAAAAATAAGATCACTAAGATTCCAGAATGTATTTAGATTTATAAAAGGATACAACAGGCCGATATGGTAATGCTAAGATAAAATGAGTTTTCTTCCTTTATTTTTTCATTTAAAAAAGAAATTATTTAAAGACTTTATTTATTTATTTAACAGGGGGAGGGGTAGAAGGACAGGGAGAGAGAGAATCTCAAGCAGACTCCAGGCTGAGTGCAGAGCCCGATGTGGGGCTGGATCTCACAACCCTCAGATCATGAGCCTAAATCAAGAGTCAGATGCTTAACTGATTGAGCCACCCAGGTGCCCCCTTTCTATTTTTAAAATAAATTCTCTTTGGTCTTTGGAAGATCTCTATTAAAAAAATAAAAGTTATGAATATCAATCACTGCTCAAAAATAAACTCAAAAATCAAAATCAGGTCTCATGGACCCTGATGGTACATTGACAGTTAATAAAAACCAAACTCTATTTATTCAATAACAGATCTTGTGGCCATACTGCAGGTAAATGTGTAATTCCTATTAAGCTTTTGAAATTCTAAAAATGGCTTACAGAACCATCACGCCTGTTTTTACCTCATTGGACCCTAGTGGTTCAGGAACCTGAGCTGGGAACCATTGGATCAGATGCTCTCCATATGCCCTTGCAGCTATAATCCATTAAAGTAGTAATATTTATCGGTGTTTTTCTTTTATTACAAAGATAACAAATTTCATGTAAAGAAAATAACAATCATTTCTATAATTCTATCCAAGAACATTATAAACAAATTGTGAAGATATCACAAGAAATATTTTCATTCTATGTCCTTAGTTCTTTGTGATCTCAATACCCTGAGCCACTAGCCACTTAATTATCAGGAAACCTTGACACCTCTTACCCTTATTTATTTACATGAGTCCCTAAGTCTCTCTTTTCTAAAGCATATAGGTGGTGAGTCATAGGAGAAGGCTGCTGAAGGTACAGTGATATAACACTACCCAGAACAAGCTCCCTCTGACAGTTGCATACTTCTGTTCAGCCTGGCCAATTCTTTCTCATTCGTGGTGTGCATAGTACATAAACACTTTATATACATGAATACACACACATACACACATATATAAGCATATATATATATATATAGTAAATACTATATTAACCAATACACATGCGTATGTGTATTTTTTTAAAAAAACTTCATTTTCAACCATAGTTTTCTAAAAACACATTACATCAGAAAAGAGAAGTAAACATGAAGATTTTGAAGGAGAATGTACTTGTATCAATTTGGAAAATTTTATACAAGCATTTTCTCCAGAAAGAAAAAGAAACAAAGATTCCTTGTATTTTTAAATACTTTGTGCAATTATCAAAGATAAAGAGCCTCTTAATCCAGGTACAAGCCAACCACTCCCAGAAACCAGCAAGAAAATTATGTTCCTAATGTCCCTATTTAAAAGACTCACAGATATGCTTTAATAAAATGATATACTTGTAAATTAGACCTGTGCTTTAATAATGACCACATTTAGTTAAGTAAATCTGTTCCATGGTCTAGAGAAAACACTAATTTTAAAAAGATTAAAGTATACCCTACACTATTATTTTTTCCACTAAGAATGAATGTTTATTAGTTCATTTAATCTTACTTTTTTAAATCTTTAAAATGAGAGCTTTAATTTCATTTTTGAATCAAATAGATAAAAGCATGCCACATAATCATGAAAGTAAAAAAAATTCAGTATTTTTGAGATAAAAATGTCTTATGAAACCATTATATTAACTTTAAGCAGCTATGTTTGAAAAATTCAATGAACTTGTCTAAAATGCTTCTTATAATTATAAGCACATATATTACTACATAAGACTTTCTTTTTGACTCTTAGCCAGTTCTAAGTTTTTTACAGAGAGTGAAAATGGAATGCATTTTTAATACTAATGGAATGAGATGATACTATATGAATTTCTCATGCTTTAATGATGTTGTTTTGGGAACTCAAGGATGATATCGATCTCTCTAATTTCAACATTCAAGGGCAGAAACTGAAAATCAATATAGATCTACTGTGCTAAATAACTACCCAGGAATGGGTTCTCTTCCTCTAAAACCACTTCCCACTCCCTGAGACTGTCAAGCTTCTCCAACTGTAATTTCTCCTCTCTGTCCTTGACATAACCAATGAGTACATGCTTTATGCTTCCTATTATGTCTGATATACAAATAATAAGCCAAAATACAGTCAAGGCTTTTAAAAATTTTAACCAAAATATTAAATAATCAGAGACTTACATAGGATTTATGGATAAGGATAGTAATCATTGCATTATATACATATATGAGCAAAAAACCACTTTAAATCTAACAGCAGGCAACTACTCACAATAAATAATGTTATATACACACAATGAAATACCACATAGTCATTAAAAATCATATTTTCCAAGAATACTAAGGTTATGTGAAAAGGCTAATAACATGCTATTGGGTAAAAAAGGAAGATACAAAGACTATGAATCCAATTTTATAAAAAGAATACACATATAAAAGAAAAAAATCCAGAATATGCAATAAAATATTAATAGATCTCTAGATGTAAGCATTATAGGTGACTTTTATTTTTTAATATTTTTCTGTTTTTCATAATTTTCACCAAACACATAAAACTTCTCTTGAAAGGTAATTTTAGAAATAAAATATCAAAAAGTTTAAAATACATTTTTCTGTTAAATCAACATTAAGTATGCTTTTTCAAGGTAGTGGATAATTTCTGATTGAACTAAATCAAGCAATCATTAAGTGCATTAAATGACTATATATCTTATATAGAAACACTGTTTCATCTGTATACATTCAGCCACATAATCAAAGATTCCACTACCCACCTTGTTTTTCTTCAGGTGTTTCTATGTAATAAGGCATTCTTTTCATAGTTTCTCTCAACTCCTGTTTCAAGGCCAGCATATAATCTTCACCCTCTCCTGCTTTCAGTGGCACTGGTTTATAATCTGTATCCTTTTTAAGAGACAATTTTTTTAATAAGTTAAGTTTTTAAATATCCCTTTTGTCTATAATCTGGAAAATGTCAGTTTTATTGAAAACCTCATTTTATAGATACTAAGTTTTACAATCAACTGAAAAGATGTTGAGCTTTTGTAATCTATTTAACCTTTTAGCCCATTTCCTACTTTGCTCTTATTTTAGAGGTAGGAAAGAAAGATGCTTAATTTTCCTACTGACCACACCAACAATTATTTTGTTACATAGTCTGTTGACCGTGATTACATAGTTTAGAACTCAAAGCACCAGAATGAGAGCAACTGCTTTGGTTTCTTTTTTTTTAAGATTTTATTTATTTATTTGACAGAGAGAGACACAGCGAGAGAGGGAACACAAGCAGGGGGAGTGGGAGAGGGAGAAGCAG